GTTGGTGTAATAAATGCTTTATTAGCAAAAAGTGCAAATGTTCATGCTAAAGATCAACATAAAGCAGCTTCTTTACATCAGGCTGCTAAAAATGGTCATGTGAGTGTAGTAGAAGCTCTAGTAGCAGCAGGCGCAAAAGTTAATGCTAAAGATCAACATAAAGCAACTCCTTTACATCTGGCTGCTCAAAGTGGTCATGTTGGTGTAATAAAGGCTCTAGTAGCAGATGCAAATTTTAATGCTCAAAATGAACATGGAAATACCCCTTTACACTGCGCTGCTAATGAAGAGGTAGTAAAGGCTCTCATAAAAGCAGGTGCAGATGTTAATGCTAAAGATAAGTATGGAGAAATTCCCTTACATTGGGCTGCTAAGTATGCTAATATAAATGTAGCAAGGGCCTTAGTAGCAGCAGATGCAGATATTCATGCTAAAAATCAAGATGGAAATACTCCAATAAACTTAGCTATGGAAGCTAAGATAAAGAAGTTTTTGAAGACAGCAGAAACAATACAATTTTTTAAACCAATTATAATAGGTATCTCTACTTGTTTTGTAACTGCAGCATTTGAAACTGGGCTCGCAGCATTACTTGTTACAAAAGGAGACCTTCCTGTTGAGCTAATGCCTATAACACTAGCAGTTCTTGCCATTGCAGCAATTACACTAACATCTGGCATGCTTGCATGTCAAGCATTTAAACCCAATAAACCTAGCACTAAAATAGACGCAACACAGACATTAGGAAATAGTAATTCAACAATTTCTTCTATACACTCAATGGAAGGATAAAAGATCTACTGTAAAGAGAACATCTTTTCTCAAGTGTTAAAAAAAATGTTGATTTTTTAATACAAATATTGTAATTTTAATAATAACGTATAATAAAGAAAAATTTTATGTATGAAGAATTGAAAAGAATATTAGGTGAAATCGACTTAGAATTAGGTAAAGGCAACTCCGACGATGTAATTGCAAGAATAGAAGAAGGATTAAAGAAGGCAGGATATGACTATATAGTTGAAGAGTGGAAAAAAGAAGGAAAATCTAACATAAACTACCCACTTGTAAACTACTTATTTCCATATGCTAAATTTAATATCACACTACTGCACATTGCGGCTCAAAACAATTATAAAAATGTAGTAGAAACTTTCTTGGGGATAAAAGGCATACATGTCAATGCTGAAGATAGAAATGGAGCAATTCCTTTACATTGGGCTGTTAAAGATAATGCTATAGATGTAGTAACGATTCTAGTACAAGCTGAAGATATAGAGGTTAATGCTCAAAATAAAAATGGCAATACTCCTTTACATTGGGCTGTTGTGCAAGGTAATGCAGAGATAGTAAATGCTCTGGTGGAAAAAGGTGCAGATGTTAATGCTCAAAATAAAAATGGCAATACTCCTTTACACTTTGCTGTTGTAGAAGATAATGCAGAGATAGTAAATGCTCTAGTACAAGCTGAACATATAGAG